TGACTCACCTGGATTTCCAACCATCCTGTGCATCCGAATCACCATTCTCCTCCTTCACCACTCTCCTTAGCTTGGAACTCCTACCCCCTTGATTATTAAGACGACGCCTTTTCTTCGGAGGAGGAGGAGAAGCGTCCAGGAATGAAGGTATCCGCCTGACCCTAGAACTCCGCCTAAGCTCAGAGTCAGCAGACTCAGCACAAGCCAACGCAGACCCACCATCTCTTTCCTTGGACTCTCCATGGTTCTTGTTGTATTCCTCCTCACAGATTGCGGCGAGATTCTTACTCTTCTTCCCAGAAGAAGAACCTGAATGATTCTGATATTTCTTTACCTCACGCGATGATGTCATGACAAATCAATATGCATCCAAATGCGCATACAACTACTGTTCTTCTCGAGGCCGATCAGCTGTTGCTTCGGCCACTGCGACGGATATGCTTAAGAAAACGCTACAGAGCGACTAACCTTAGCTCCATGATAAACCCAAATTTGCAGAATCCGACCGAATGAACCCAGAAATCCAAACCATAGATCCTAATTTCCACTAATTTAACATGTGAAGGTCAAAGTTAGGATTTTCGTGCGTGAAACAATCGAAATCTTCTTCCTCCGAAAACTTTGATTTTTCCGATGATTACTCCTCCGCCTATTAGCCTCGGAGACTTAGGGCTCCACGGTTAAGTCAATTTAAATACTAGGAAAATGAAGCCAAAAGAAAAGAATAATTTTATTTCACTAATTTTTCTTCGGTATATTACACCCACGCCCCTGTAAAGCAAGTGAATCTCAGTCGCGCGATACCAAAGTCACATTGATCTCTTAAGGACCAATATGATTCGAATTACTGTATATTCAACTTTTTAAAGAACCAGCACACACGCTCTTAAGGCCGAGACTGGGCCTAATCCTGGGCTTATTGTTCTGTCAATTTTTTAACAATCTCCTAGGAAGAGAAGAAATGAAAAGAGAAGAAGAGGAACACAAAGCCCTATGAATCTGCAAAACCTGATCACCACATCACATTGTCTTCTTCCCAGTGTCTTAGAGAAAGAGCTATCATTCTGATACTCTAAAACTCTGTCGTATTTAAAACTTTACTTGAGTTATTTATGCCCTTTGATCCTGTTCTTGAACAGAAGCTCCTGAGCATTGCTCCTTCTAGCTTGGCGCCTCTTAGTGGAAGTGGAAGTAATTTCACCAGTAATCCCCACAAGAACAACGACCATTTTCAAAACTGTGAAATCGAACAGCATCTCTCACAACAAAAGCTACCTTCATGATCTTAGACAACCCCTTGATGAACTCATGACAATCTACGCATACCCTCAAGTTCTTGAACACTCTTATTGTCTTTTCTTTCTGGTTTAAGTCGCCTGATACCAATGCCAGACCAATCGCTAGCTTCTCGCTGTGAGCTCTAAGGTTCTCTTCCTTCGACTCATCATCTATATCATGTAATTCTTGGTTTAGGCCGTAAACATATCCCAATTCTTCTCTCATTCTTCTTTCAACATCTTTCAAAGTTACTTGGATCCTAAAAGTCAGGGGATGTGAATAATCTCCGCTACGGAAGAAATGCATCTCTCTCTCAATCTCTACCCAGCTCAAACCAGCTTCTTTCTTCAACCCTTTTATCTTCCCAAGCTCTCGCGCCTTCCCATGTTCGTGCCAATAACCAGCTTCTCCATAAAGGTTGGACACTATCACGTAATTTGCAGGATTTTTTCCATCGATCCTCAATAGAATCTTACCTACTTCATCCCCTAGTTTGATGTCTCCGTGTAATCGACAGCCGCTGAGAAGTGTTTGCCATATTCCAACATTTGGTTTAACAGGCATTGTGTCAATCAGATGTTTTGCTTCCTTCAAACGACCAGCTCGTCCTAATAGATCAACAACACACGCGTAGTGTTCTACCCTAGGTTTGATTCCTCTTGTCTCTAGTAACTTCGAAAAAAGTTCTTCCCCTTCTTTGACCAGACCAGAATGGCTACAAGCTGAGAGTACTGCTAGGTAGCATACATCATCAGGTTCAATGTTATGTCTCAACATTTTGTTAAAAACACAAACTGCTTTCTTGCCAAGCCCATGCTTCCCGTAGCCAGTGATCATTACTGTCCAGGAGATCACATCTCTCGACTGCATTTCGTCGAAGCATTTCTCAGCCTCATCAACTAATCCACACTTGAGATACATGTCCACCACTGAATTTGAAACAGATGTTTCTAACCCAGACGGGAGTTTAACAGCGAGTGCTTGCATTTGCTTCCCTTGCCGCAAGAGTGCAAAATCAGCAAAGACTCCGATGATACTAGAAAGAACAAAACTGTCGGTCTGAGAGTTTAGCTCCCGTAGTCGTCTAAACAAACCCATCGCCTCCACAAAGTCGCCCTCTTGAGCATATCCAAGAATCAATGAACTCCATGAGATCATTGTCTTTTCCTTGATTTGATCGAAAGCTTTCCGAGCACCAAAGAGATTTCCACACTTGACATACAAATCAACGAGAGAACCGGTGATGGTTGCGGAACTTGAACAAGGGAACCCACTCCTGATTAGAAAACCATGTATCTGTTTTCCCCCTTGAATCATACCAATGCTACTACAAGCTTTCAACAAACTCGTCAATGTGAACTCGTCCGGCATTTCCCTTATCTTTGTGCCTTGCATCATACGAAACGTAGCCAAAGCTCTGCTACCATACCCCGCTTGTACATATCCAGCTATCATCGCGTTCCAGCTTATAAGACTCTTATCCACCATCCAATGAAACACTTTCTCAGCTTCGTTGACTCTTCCACATTTTGAATACAGGTCAACCAAAGAATTCCCCACCTCGACCATCATTTCAAAACCAATCTTCAAACAAAACCCATGGATCTGCAATCCCTTTTCGAGTGCGTTAAGCAAACCACAAGCTTTAAGATTCGTCGAGAAAGTGAACTCATTTGGGTTAACACCCTGACGCCTCATTTCGGTGAAGAGAGATAAAGATCCCGTAAGGTCACCATTATATACATGTCCGCTCATGAGAGCCGTCCATGAAACAACATTTCTCTCCGGCATATTGTCGAACACCTTATAAGCAATGAAGGGTTCTCTGCATTTACAATACATGTCAATGAGATAATTGCTCATATACATATCCAACCCAGATCCAGATTTGAGAAGAAAACCATGAACTTGACCCCCTTGATCAGAAAGCCCATTCTTTGTGCAAACTCGCAAGATTCTAACAAGGTTTTGTCGTTGACTCGGAATCATCGGTGAAATCTTGTCCAAATGAAACACGAATCGAAGATTTGTGTGTGTAATAATCACAAACTCAAGCCTATAAGCAATAATATGATGAACGAAACTTCCAAGTAGATACTTCCAGTGAAGAGTTACAGTGACGATGCTGACAACAATTAAACCAGGGGAGTTGTATCATTTCATAGTAGAGTTCTGTTTGACTTTCAATGCTATTAGAAACGAAATTGGGCCTCTTATTAATTTGGAATCTCAGACTTTTTATACCAACAATTTTTCCTGCCATTTTTGACATAAATACTTTTTTATAATCTCATAAGATAGCACTAGTTAAATTAAAATACATATCATTTCTTGAACCGGCTAAACCTTCTGACCACTATCACACTGTCTTCTTCGAATTATCATCATAATACTCAGAAAGACTTGGCTTAGTGATTTATAGATCAAAGATCTTGTTGGGTTTGTCATTATTCCTCACAGAGCTTACTTGATCCGGTTCTTGAACAGAAACTCGACGTTTCTCACATTGGACTTGCTCCTTCGAGCTGTGATCTTGAACACTGCACCATCCGCGAGCATCCGTTGCACCACTCTCGTGATGTTCTTTGTGTCATCAATGCCGAGATGGTGACTTCCCATGAGCCTTATTCCACATTGCCTCATCATTGACACCATTCCTCTGGCCTGTTATCTACCATTGATGAGTTTATAGTAACATACAAGCGATGAATATACATAGTGATATCCAACTTACCTCACGTCCGTAGAAATTTAAGTAGACGTCTTTGAGATTAATCCACTCCATAAAATACTGCGGAAGATTGATATTCGACACTACGCATTGCTCGGGAATCTTTGTCTTTATATCCCAATTTCCACTGATAACAATAGGTTAACCAATCAGTATCCTAAAGATGGCAGGAGCTCAATATAACTATTCAATACAGTTATCGCAAACTGTTTCTGTGCACAAGGAAATTACCGAAAGAAACTCAACGATTCACATAACAAGGTCATATGTTTTCAAGACCCTAGGCCTC